TAGCATAGCATAGCATAGCATAACATCGCATAACATGTCATAGCATCGCATCGCATCGCATCGCATACAATAGCATATCATCGCATGGCACAGTATGGCGTAGCATAGCATAGCATCGCATCGCACAGCATAGTATCGCATCGCATCACACCGCATAGCTTAGCCTCGCATTGATAACATAGCGTACTATGCGGGCCGAACCGTACAATGGCCGAAAGTCCGTCCAAACGGCGCTCTCGCCTCGGCGCGGGCAGCACACCGCCAGCGTCACCTGCACGCCGTGGCCAGCTTAAGTTTAAGAGCGAATCGTGAGGATGTCTCAGCAGAAACCGGCTTTCTTGGTTCAGATGGGCGGGCTGGACGACATGGGCGAATCAAACGCACGTTCGGGCCTGCGGCGGCCGCCCGGGACGGTCAGGGCACCCACAAGGCGCGCGCTTGCCGTCGACGGCGGGGCGCGGCTGCGGGAGAGCAGCCCGAGGCGAGGAGGCCCTCCCCCCACGAGCGATGCCCTGGCAGATTGGGCCAGTTTGATTGCCGCCAGTTCCGTCGAACGCGTGCAAATCAAGGGTGCGACGGTGATAACGGATCATTGTGCAGGCAATTGCACGTCTCGTGGAATATGTTGCGGTGTTTATTTCCGTGTTTTGCGTCGTGAATTCTTGTTATCCGTGTCGCGCCTCCGTCTACTCACTCCCTCCTCCTCCTCCTCCCTCCTTTTCCATATCACGATCATGAGTATCGCGATGTGACAGGCCTCGCACTTGGGCAACACAAGGGGGTGCCGCCAGGGGATAATTAGGACACTTACCGGTTCGTGCCCAGATTGTGGGGATGTCTCCAGCGGTTCGCTTGTTTCACGGATGTAGGCGCGTCTTTTTCAGGGCCGCGTGGTGTTCGCGATGTCGCAATAAACGTTGCTGGGCGCCACAATGGGGAGCGACCACGGGGTGGGACATTTGCCCACTTGCGGTCAGCATTCGGGGATATCTCACGCGAGACGCTGGCTTTTTGAGGTGGGTGTGCTTTTTTTCAGGGCCGCCACGAAGGAAGCGAATACTCGGATCAGTCCCGGCAGTCGCCGCCGTACTGGGGTGACCGTCGGATCGATTATTTCGTTGTCGATTTTTTTTGGCGCGTACCGTTCAAACCTTCAGGGTGGCCCAGTGTTGGCAAATTTTGCGCGGTGGTTGCACGACGAAGGTGGGCGCACCATAGAACCCTTCATGACAGCCCATCGTTGTAAAGATTTTCGTCGCGGTTGTAAGACGAGCCCGGGCACGGTGATCGCGCGCATTTGGGTGTTCACATTCGTTATGGCGCTCGCATGTGGTTCGCTAGACGTAAAATTTGTGTAGATCTTGGACGTGACAAATCTGTGATGAGCCTTGGCTAGGTCGTGTGCGGGCCTTCACTGGGTTCTGGGTAGGCCATGTATCAGCTCTTGAAAGGCCGCCAGGTAAGCCTGAGGCAGGCATTGGATAGGCCGTCGGGCTGACCTTGGACAGGCCTGGGGGTTCGTGGGCAGGCATTGGGCAGGTGACATTGGGTTTGCTCGAGGTGGGCCTTGGACGCTCTGGGTCGTCTAGGCCTTGGATAGGCGTAGAGTGCGTGAGGGGTGTGCCGAAATCGGGCCCATTGAGCCGTCTTGAGAGGTACGTAGCTGTTTCTTATGTCTTGTTTCGCCGATCGGCGCGGGCCCCCGCTCCCTCCTCCCCAAAGACCAGATCTTGGCTGCTTAAAGCGGCTGCTTCAACCGGGTTGATTAAGCACTGGGGCCCGCCCCCCCTCCTCCCCCCAGTGGACACACGAGCTGCTGCTGTACGTGTATGAGTTGTTTTCTCGAGGCGCCCCCCTGGGAATGAAACAAAGGGTATGTAGGCAGCTGAAGTGGGATCATGCGGAATCCTTTTTCGACCTGCGGCCAGCTGTATGTTTCATGGTTGCACGCCGAGTGGAACACGTCCATCGCGTCGACAACGAACATACTTGTTCGCGTTGCATGCCGAGTGGAATTCGTCCACCGCGCCCGCAACAGCTCCTCTGCCGCGTGGAATGTCATTCCATTGGTCCGCCAAAAAGGGTGTGGAAAGGAAAAGGATTGAGAGGGTTTGCTGAGAGGAGAATGCAAGATTAAGGTCGACTGGGGCTCATGGCGTGCATCCGTGGGGGCATAGAGGGATGGTGCGGTTTGCTGATTGATCATGATTGATAGAAGTATTTCTGCTCTCCGATGCTGCGAACCCTAGACCGTCGCCGCATCTTGCTAGAACCAAAACGCGCTTCTAGTGTACATGTACGATAACTTTGGATCCTATGGGGGTGCATGCAGGATCCTATAGGGATACACGGGGGATTTCATGGGGAGTCACGCAGGTCCCTATAGGAGTACACGTAGGATTCCATAGGGATACACGTAGGATTCCGTATGGATACACGCAGGATTCCGTAGGGATACGTATTGCATAGGGTTACCACGGGATTCCATAGGGATACACGTAGGACTCCATAGGGGTACACGTAGGATTCCACAGGAATATACGTAGGGTTCCATGGGGATGCACGTAGGATTCTATAGGGACGCACGTAGGTTTCTCATGAGATACATCTAGGGTTCTTCAGGGGTTCATGTAGGACTCTTGAGGGAATGATGTAAGGTTTTTTGAAGATTAATGTCGGGTTCTTTTGGCATTCATCTGAGAATACTTCGGGATTCATGTCGGGTTCCGGGCGCCTGGGCTTCCGGGCACCCTGGCATCCGGACACCCGGGCACCCGAGCGGGGCTCCGGCAGCCCGGGCACATAGGTACGGCCCAGGCACCCGGGCACGGGCATCCGGGCATCCGGGCACCCGGGCATCCGGGCATCCAGGCACACGGGCACCCGAGCGGGGCCGGGCCAGCACTGCCCGGGCAGCCAGGCACCCAGGCATCTGGGCATCCGGGCGCCCAGATGAGGCCTGGGCACCAGGCACGGGCCCGGGCATCCGGGCACCCGGGCATCCGGGCATCCGGACACCACGCTGGCACCCGAGCGAGGCCGGGCCTCAGGCACAGACATCGCCCGGCAGCCGGGCACCCGGGCATCCAGGCATCCGGGCACCCGGGCAAGGCCCGGGCACCCGGGCACGGGCCCAAGCACCCAGGCACCCTGGCATCCGGGCATCCGGGCAAACGGGCACTGGGCCCAGCAGCGGGGCCGGGCCTCACGCACAGGCACCGCCCGGGCAGCCGGGCACCCGGGCATCCGGGCACATGCATGGCACCTGGTCAACGCCCGGGCACCAAGATACCCGGGCATCCGGGCACCCGGGCATCCGGGCATCCAGGCACACGGGCACCCGAGCGGGGCCGGGCCGGCACGGGCAGCCGGGCACCCGGGCATCGGGGCATCCGGGCGCCCGGGCGAGGCCCGGGCACCAGGCAGCCCGGGCCCGGGCATCCGGGCACCCGGGCATCCGGGCATCCGGACACCCCGCTGGCACCCGAGCGAGGCCGGGCCTCAGGCACAGACATCGCCCGGGCAGCCGAGCACCCGGGCATCCAGGCATCCGGGCACCCGGGCAAGGCCCGGGCACCCGGGCACGGGCCCAGGCACCCGGGCATGGCACCCGGGCATCCGGGCACGCGGGCACCAGGGCCGGGCCTCACGCACGACGCACAGGCACCGCCCGGGCAGCCGGGCACCCGGGCATCCGGGCACATGGGCACCTGGTCAACGCCTGGGCACCCGGCCCCGGGCATCTGGGCACCCGGGCATCCGGGCACCCGGCCATTTGGGCATCCAGGCACACGGGCACCCGAGCGGGGCCGGGCCGGCACCGCCCGGGCAACTGGGCACCCGGGCATCCGGGCATCCGGGCGCCCGGGCGAGGCCCGGGCACCCGGGCACGGGCCGGGGCATCCGGGCACCCACTGAAATGAATGTCGGCTTTGTTAAAGCTCATGAGCTTTATAGCGAGTTGCTAAGGTTGTTACAACGTTCATACAACCCTCTCACAAAGCAGCAACAAGCTGCTGTAGCTAGTAAGCTTGCTTATCATAGTTAGCTAAAGCCAACATGGTTTTAAGTAATTCAACATAAACTGTATAAACGGCTTATCGGTTGCTAACTAGTTTATGGTTTATGTTCGATAACTATGATAACTTTGATAACTCAATTATCTCATGTTAACATAATTGTTTATGTTAGTTTTTTTTTTTTTTTTTTTTTTTTTTGAAAATCTGAAGTTCAAAAAATATGTTAAGTTAACATTAATTTTCGAATAGGCTAACATGATGCTCAGAATAGGCTAACATGACAACCTTTTCAAACAAAAATGTTGACCTCGTTTTTATCAAAGGCGCAACATGAACAGATCTCCACGTTCCAACATAGCTCCCGTTGCAAACCAAACGTTGAAATTTTTCGAACCAAACATAGCTCCCGTTGCCAACCAACCATAGCTCCGTTTGCAAACCCAGCTCATGTTGGGAATCAAAAGAACATGTCAGAACCCATTTATCGGTGAACAAGCTCTAAGAAAAAAACAAAAAAATTGGTGCGCTATACCCAGGGATAGTTCGGAGGACTCAACATCAGCATGCAGAGCAGATATTCAACATTGAACTGTGGATAACAGGTATGAGCATCGGACACGACGGTTTCGAGAAATATTTTGTGATTGTGCAGTTGCATTTTACCATCCGTAGTTGCAGAATTTTCGGCTTAAAGCATTCGCTATAGCTTCCAGCAGCTTTCTTCGGCTATGTCTCAGCTTACGGAAGTTTTCAAAATTGAGTTCCAGAAGATTTTGAATTCGAAAAAGGTGAAGGCGAACGAGCATATGGATATGCTGATGACCTGCCTTCGGGCACACAAATTGGCGTACACCGTGAACAGCATCGAGCCAATTGTTTTTTCTCGGACACAGTGCGAACAGTGGAGGGCTTCTTCTGAGCCCGCACAATGTGCATCGTAATGCTGCTCGGATCCATGCAGCTGGTGCCGACATGCGCCAGCTATCAAATGCCGTGTGCATCGAGCTCGGGGTCAATTCGCCCGTCCGTTGGCAGCACGTTGCTAAGAACAGGGCGCTGGTGGACAGAGCCGATGGGCTTCTAGCGCCAGTTAATGGCTCCGAGCGGTACGTTACAGTCGGGTGTGGACACACCACGGCTTTCTGCAAGTTGGCAGGGGTGCAGGGCAGGACGTCGGAGAAGTCATTGCAGATGGCTGATTCAGGCGCGATTGACGTGCAGAAGTTGCCCCAGAATGAGCAATTCAAAGCCATGATCGAGAAAGGCAAGGCGTGGGATGCGGTCCCAAGTATCATTGACGAGCTGTTCCCAGGTTTCGCTTCAGTAGCCCAGAAGGCTCTAAACACTCAGAACCACCTCGGCACGGAGGTCGGGGAGCTGGAGACCTGCATGACGTTGGCGGCGATTGCTAATGACCCAGGGATGCGCCAGCTTGCGGATTGGAAAGCCATGGCTATCGAGAACGTAGTTTCGCTCAACATACCGAGCGCAAAGTACAGCAAGACATTGCTTGAGTTTGTTGAGAATTTCGGCGGTGGCGATGGCGCTCCTCTCGTGTCGTTCATGGACTCGGTTGCAAAGCAATTTGGTTGCAACGCTACGTTGGGGCAAGCTTTCTGGGAATCGATTACGAACACAGCTTTCGCATCGAAAACCAACATGTATCCTTTGATTCGGGTGGCACTTGCAATTTCAAACATCACGGGCGACAAGGTTGAGGACGGCGTGGTGCGCTTGCTTGTGAAGAATGACGTCACGAAGGCTGCTGGCTAGCAAGCCTAAGATGGCTGAGGCAAATACTGCTGACAGCATTCTTGGCGAAGCCATGGATATCGCCAGGGGGCCTGACGGCGTCGATGCGGCGTTGCAGCCATTAGGGCAGCTATTCGTGAGGGTTGCGTTGGAGCTCACAGGTAAGGAGAAGATGGGTCGGGAGGGCAAGGAGCTTAAGTGGGGCGACATATGCAATTCATTTCTGACCAGCCTCAGCGACCTCAAGGGTCAGATGGTAACGTTCGACGAGTGGTCTAAGCATGCGGTCTCGAGCGGCGCTGCAGCTGCTGCCAAAGCGAAGCCGAGTGCATCCAGCACGGCGACGCTCAGCGACCATAAGGACCCGACATGGATTGCCAAGAAGGCTGGGTATTCGGTCGGGTGCCTAGTAGTCCAGAAGGACGTTGCAGCCCAGAGGCTTTACACTATCTTCAGCATCGGCCAGACTGTCAAGCTTCGCGAAGCTGTTAACCACGACGCAAGCCGAGAGGCACACACGGCTGAGATTACATGTGAGGATCTTCTTCAGAAGTGGTCAATCTCTAAGGCTGCACTGTCAAAACAGATGGATGGTGATCAGCAGCGCCCGCAGCAGCTGTACATCGACAAGCAGAAGGCTGCGTTGTACCGAGCTCTCCTTGAGCTAGATGTCAAGCACGTGGGCAAGCATAAGCTGACGTTCTGGCGGAAGCCAGATGGGGTGTGGACTACTAGCGCGATCAAGCAGGGCCAGCTTACTTTGGTCCCAGTGGTACCACTCATCAACATAAGTGCGAAGAACAATGGGTCTGGCATTTCACTTGGCGAGCATGCGATTGACAAAGACACCAAGGTTCACTTTTTTGTGTTGCCTGTATCTAAACCGCAAGACAATGACACCAGCACCTAGTTCGATGAAGCCGCATTGGTGGCTGCACACTGGTGGGTCGCGCCAACCTACGACAAGAAGCAAGCCAACATGGCTACGGGCCACGTGTCACACGGTGGCTTAATGTTGCCAGTGCTGACCAACACTACCGACATCGGGCCCAATGTGAAGCTCCAGATGCTCGCCAAGCCCAAAGCTAAGGAGGTGCCAGTCCATGAGCAGGCCGTCAAGAAGCAGAAGAGGGCTTGAACAGCATCCATCAGCCACGGGTGCTAGTCTGCAGAGGGGTGCGTTTTGCATCGCACTTTTGTAATCTCTCGAGCTCTAGTCCAGAGCATCCCAGCACTCTGCAGTGCTATAGTCATATGCTGCCGTGCAGTAGCAGGGGAGAGTAAGGAGGAGCGAGGATGAGGGTGGAGGTCGAGCTGTTGCCCCGTCGGCTAGCACGAAGCTTTGATGTCGGACACATCTCTTTTGCGTGCGAACGGGTTTACCAGCCGTGCGCTTATCAGGCAGTTGACGCAGTCTTTGTGGACAATCGCACTTGCACCGGCAGAGAAAAAAAAATGGCGGGTGTGGGGCGAAATGCGGCGGGAGGTCAGCATTTGCTAATCTGATCCTGACTGGTCGCCCACAGTCCTTTGGCATGCAACCGTCCGCATCATACATTCCCTCAGGCCCGTGCGCTCCCACCGTTGCCCTCATTGGTCATGTCTTCCCTCAGCAACGTCTTTGCGTTCAGGGCGGCGCCGAACCAGCGGGGGGGGGGGCAGGGGGGATGATGATGAGGGGGATGTCACAGAGAGTATGAGAGAACGAGAACGAGAGAATATAGGGTGCATGCTCACTTCAGTGAGGCCGTCAGAATATATTGCAAGGGGCATGCGAAGACAGCCAGAGGCGAAGCGAATGGCATCGGGTGGCAACTGGCATGCTATGTGATGCCATGCGAGCGGCCCTCTTGGGCTCACCCTGCATATGCTATGGCATGCCATGCTTATCCAGCCCCCGAGCGTTCGAGGACTGTCCAGACCAACGAGTTGATGCGCCATGCGGTGCAGATGAGCCTAAGTGTCAGTCGCATATGTCGTCGTTCTCCTCACCCCCCTCCCTTCTCCTTATCCTGGCTCCGTGGCCTCTCTCGCTCATCTGACGTCGTCCACGTCGCGCCCCCTGTCTAGGATGCAATCGACCCTCAGCCGTTAGGCTCAAACGACCAGGGATAAAGCATCACGGTTTGCTGTTAGCATAATGCAGAAAGCAACGCTTGAACTTTCTCGCACCGTCAAGCTGGAGGGGATAAAGCCAGTTTGGCGGATTCACAGGCCATATGATATGGCTACTGTCGGCGATGACACTTTTGTCCGAATCTCACCTGCGCAGTATACACTGAACAGCCTTTTGGCTTATAAGAACGATGACCTCCCACGCGGGCTGGAGCAGCAGGCAGTGGTTCTGAGCAGGGGGCTGAAGTCGTTGATAGCCCAGCGGAATGAGAAGCAGTCGGACGAGCTCAAGCAGGAGCAAACCCAGGCAAAGGCCTCTCTGTTCAAAACGCCACCGAAGCAAACGGAGCTTGTGAGGACCCACGCCGAGAAGGCTGACATGAGGCGTGATCCTGGTGTCATGTGCCTCGAGGTGGTAGTTCACGATAAGGCTGTTCACATGGATGTTCTGAAGCCAATTCACCCGTGTGACAACCTCTTCGTTGCGTACGAGCCCAAGGCTTTGGCTGCGGCAATTCACAGTATGAGGGCAATGGGGTTCGATGAGCCGCAGAAGCGAGATCGATTGCCTGATCTGCCTAAGGGTGTCCACCACAGGAACGGCTATGCACTTGCAGAGTTCCCAAGGAGCACAAATGGCCTGAACGGCTACGGCTACAAGAAATGCAGGACGGTTGAGGATGCGGTGCGGTTCCTCACGCAGCCGCAGCCTCCCGATGGTGGGCTCCCCGATGCGGGTGATGAGCCCCCCGATGCGGCTGGTGAGCTTCCCGGTTCGGATGCCGAGCTTCATAATTCGGGTGCTGAGCCTTGCCATGCTGAGCTCCCCGAGCAATCCCATGACTAATGCTGCAAGTGTATATACATGCACTAAGCCTTGAGGCTGACAGCGCCCGTATGATTGGGGTCTGCGGGCTTGGCACTTCGCTCACCGAGTATGAAAAAAACAGTCATTGCTCATCAAGCCGATTGGCTGCGTTGATGCGTTTCCGTTTGGGGCTTGGGGTCGGGGACTACCATTGTAGCTCAGCCGTTCTGCTTCAGAGGCTCCTCCCCCCAGCGCTTGCGCGCTTCGTCCGTTTCATCAGCCATCGCGCGATGGCTCCCAAGGGCGCCCACCGGGACAGCAAGGCCGCGCTGAAGCAGCGGCTGAAGGACATGAAAGCCAGCCGCAACGAACGCAAAGAGCGCGCAGATTCGCTTGAGCGATTCGCGAAGGTGATCGCTAACAAGGTGGAGCCAAAAAAGCACGTTCGCGAGATCTTCGATGACGTCAGGAAGTTGTACACCGTGACTGAGGGCACGCCGACGCAGACCAAGCCGACTAGCCTCGGGCGCCTGCAGAGGTTGTCGGCTCTCCCCGAGGTCGCGGAGGCGACGGACACAGCCCCCCCTGGCGGTTGGGGCGCAAGCTCGTCGTCATCGGGCTCGCCGTCGTAAGCTGCATGGTGCAGCTGGTATGCCCGTGGGCAGCAACTCTCTGTGGACTGTGATCGTTGTTGTGTGATGCTGTCGACGTTGTGGGTATCTTCAAGGGCGGCTGTCGCCCATGAAGATGCACGCAACGGCGATAACAGGCCACTGCAGCGATCACAGACCACAGCTCATGAGCCTCAGTGGCTATTTCACGATGTGCCATGCGTTCGCCCGTAGCCACCATGGTGCTATTTGCGCTCGAAGCGAGCACGAGTTCATTGTGCTGATATTGTGGTCTCGCGCTGTGATCTTGATACAGTTGCGAACGAGGAGGAGGAGGGGGATGAGGAAGGTGAGGATTAGTTGCGTGATGCACCCGATGCTGTGCTATGCAGAATGCCATGCAATCGGCCCAAACCTCAGAATGCTACGTTATATGCAATGCTGTGCTATGCATGTGGCTGGCTTTTTCTGAAGCAGTGTAGCATATATGTCCAGCCAGACCCCAATGCCAGCATTGATTCGCCAGCCAAGCACTTTCAGTTCGTCTATGATGTCCTCCTCCTCACCCCCCTCCCTCCTCCTTCTCCTGGCACCGCGTCCTCTCTCGCTCATCTCATGGGGTGGCCCCCCCGCCTCACCCCCCCTCAATATGTCATCTCAGCACATCGCTATTCAGAAAATCAGAAGACATTGCTCCCACACAATGTAGCGACGCGATCTTCACCCGCAGTTGCGGAGGGCGGGAAGGAGGATGGGGGTTGAAGGCGAGGAAGCTGGTGATGAGGTTGATGGCTATGATATGATATGCCAATAATCTGGCGCAAATCTGAGATTGTTATGTTATGCTTGTGGTGCGATGCAATGCTATGCTCTGCTCGTTTAGACCATGTCCAGTCTCACCCCCCCACCCAAAATCTCAAAATGACATCTTTAAAGCAGGCTCAGTCCATGTAGGTCGTCGTTATCCTTACCCCCCCTCCCTCCTCCTCCTCCTGGCTCCGTGGCCTCCCCCGCTCAACTCATGGGGTGGCCCCCCGCCTCACCCCCCCTGAACATGTCGTCGTTCACGACAGAATTCAGAACATGCCAGGCATGATGGCATGCCGCAGGCCGTGGACATGGGTAACGCCCGACGCCCGCAGAGTCACCAAGAGCACCCCGATGTTGTTTCATAGGTGTCATTGTAGTTTCATATGATGGTTAGGTTTCGGTTGGGGCCTCAGGTAGTTTGGTCTTATTTTCGATCGGGTCGAACAATTGAGCTGGGCCTCCAAAAGTTATGTTCGATTGGGTCGAACATCCGGTTCTGGCCCCCGAAGGCAATGTTCGATCGGGCCGAACACTTGATTTGGGCCCCCGAAGGTCTTCTTGGGGCCTCAGATGTTATCTGGTGAGGTCGCATTGGGACCCACTGGGGCAACCCAGTCAAGACATCCATGCCCCCCCCGCGCCTCCCCCCTCCACCGCGCCTCCTCCGTGTCAGCCAT